ACATTTCCTTGTCCACTTGCTTACTTTTATAAATTTTGAAAAAAAAATTAATTTCCATTTTTTTACTTTGAAAGTGCTTTATTCAAATAGTCTTTAAGAAAATAACCTAATTCTTTCCTTAATTTTGATATTTAAGTAACATCTTTGATCAAAAGGATTAAGACAAAGAAATAAAATTTAAATGTAGTATTCAAACTTTGCAAAAGCAAAATAAAATGTACAACAAATATAAATAATGAACCCTTCAAATGATGTTCCTTGTGAATTTGTCAGATGTATACTCTGAGATTATTATACTTGCTGACAATCCATTCCAGGGCTCAACAATGACTATTGGGTGCATTCCATGTCCCCAGTTCTGCTGTGGGTGGGGGACAGAGCTGTGAGCCAACCAATAAGACACCTGTCTTCACATAATTTACAAGGTGTGAATGAAGAATGAGCACATAAACAAGACAATATCAGACAATGGTGGCTGCTATAAATAAAACAAGTCAAGATGGCAGTGAATAATGAATAATGAAGTTAAGGGCACAGTAGCCAATTTGTGGGCGGGTTCTACAGGACCACACCTGGGCTTCAACAGAGCTCCTCAGAGCACCCCAGAGTGGGGCCAGTCCAGGTGGGATTGGCCTTAGCTGCCTTTCTTGTTAAGCCAGAGCATTCAGATTTATGCATTGAGCTTTGAGAATGGGATTGAAAGATTCTGAAAACGAGTTTGAAAACTACTTGGTTGACTGTTATCAAAATACCCTGAAATTTCTCTGCAGCAATGAATTGCTTTCACATATTTGACCAGTATAACTCCTAACATTTCAGTGAGCTCACAGGTACTTTATCTGAGTTTTAAAAGAAACCAATGGGGGCACCTGAATGGCTCAGTTGGTTAAGCATCTGACTTCGGCTCAGGTCATGATCTCACGGTTTGTGGGTTCGAACCCCGTGTAAGTCTCTGTGCTGACAGCTCAGAGCCTGGAGCCTGCTTCAGATTCTGTGTCTCCCTCTCTCTCTGACCCTCCCCTGCTCGTTCTCTGTCTGTCGCTCAAAAATAAAGACATAGAAACATTTAAAAAGGAAAGAAAAGAAATCAGTGAAAATCACATATTAGCACACGAGGAACCTGTTTTCAGATCCTTAAGACCTAGGTCAGCAGGAATTCACTCCTGAGCCTGCAGACTAATATTCATGAGCACAGAAGGTGGTGATTAGTGACAAGGGTTTGTGGGCAGGTGCAGTATTTGCTGGTGTCGGGTACAATTGTAACATGAGCAGAGGTAAAAAAGATTTAGCTCAAATCGCTGGGCCTTGGCAGCTCTTAGAGAAGGAAGTCACCGAGTCCCCATCAGTCATTAGTGCAGTGATCAGGACGGCAGCGGGGGGGTGGGGGGAGTGATGTTTGATGTGCACTGTGTTTCTCCATGCCATTGAATCACACCAGCCAGTAGGAAGGATTTTACAGATGTGAAGACACTGAGTCCTAACCCCCTGGGCTTCCCTCTCTTCCTCTGCCTCTCGCCCTCTCTTGCCTCCCCTTGTTCTTTCTTTCTCTGTCTCTCTGTGCCCCTCTAACTCTTACAGTATCCAGGGACAGAGGAGAGAGAAAACCCTTGGGTCACCCTGAGCCTCTGTCTTGGCTACTAATGGTGTAGTCGCTTGCAAAAATGAATACTGTATCTCATTCAATTAACACACGCCTCATTCCTCCTGAGCTTAACGAGATTAAAGGAATTTCGGGCGCCTGCCCCCAGAATATGAATGAGAGCCTTGCTCCCAGTCTGTGGCGGGCCCTGCCTCCCTGGACTCTGAAACAGTCAGAAGATTAATGCACAGCAGCTCTGATGTTCTGTGCAGCACAAAGAAAGCCAGGGAAGGCAGGAAGAGGAGGAGGCAGAGACACCGGAGCTGCAAAGAGAGAGGGTAAAGGGCAGGGCTAGAGGCACCAAACTGGCTGGAGGATGAAATGCAGTGTTGCCATCTGTTGGCATGTGGGATGGTCCAGGTCCACTTTGGCAGGGTTGAGTGTCTCTCACCTTCCAGCTGAAGCAGGCTGTTCAGTCCGTCTGGTCATCGACACTGTACACAAGTTCAAGACTATTTGAGTTTTCTCCTTGCAGGCAAATGAACACCAGCCTCTCTGCGAGATTTCCCTACCCACCGGATGGGCATGACTTCTTGCCAAAAGCAACTGCACTATTTGGTTTATTTGGTTAAAATTTGTTGTTGAACAAATTTTTTAAATAAATAAAATTACAGGCAGACCCAAAACAAAATGTGAGGTTTTAGATTTCCTGTCCCTTATAAAACAAACCATAAAATTAGCTCCTGGAAAGTTCAAACCAAAGATTATGCTCATTCTGTATGAACTTCTTCCAAGAAAAAGGACACTAACTGATAATTGGATATTTGTTGGGAAGAATAGTGACCTGATTTATGGGCAGAGGATGGAAAATCTCGACATGTTATTAATTTGGCCTTCTGGACCTGTCCTTTTTGTTAGGGGGAAAAATCAACTCAAGTAATGATACTATACATCTATTCACCAAATATTGATCAAGCTTAAAATAATGCTGATAACCCAGGACATAAGAAAAGAACAAAATGGATACATGCCCTACACTCAAAAGATTTTGCTGTCTGGTGATGAACGTGTTGACCCAGGAGAGCTATGAAGCAACTAAAAGCATTTATTTGGGTCTCAGGGATTGCAATCTGGGAGACACAGAGTCAACTTGAAATCCAAGTGTTTGCAGAACTGTAAGTGGGGAGCACAGGCTTAAACAGGCAAAACCCACAAGGTCCCATAACTTCTTTTGGAAGCATTATCTTTGGTACTAACAGAGTTAAACTGACTCTCTGAGGTTGGCTATTCAGCTAACAAATCCTATCTTTATTTTGGTCTAAAGTCAAAGGATGTTTTCCAGGAGGTGGTGAAGGTGCAATTAACAAATTGTAATTGACTGAAGTCAAAAGTCCCTGGCTTCCAAAACTGGAAACAAGGGACGGACATGCAGAGGCCTTGCCTTCTCCATGTCCTCCCCCCACCCCCATTTTGGATGACTCTCTTAGCAATGCTTGCTTTAGGTTATAATCTTCCACAAATGAGACTCACAAATAAATAATTATACTGGAAGGCTGAAAGTGCGGTGCTCATGGGGGATGCCGGAAGCTGGAGCCAGAAAGACTGCTGGGGAAATGCTTACTGAACACATAGGTTAGTCAGGAGAAGGAAGAGCATTCGGGGAAGTTGTATGCAAGGACAAGGGGTAGGCTATGGGACACTGAGGAGAGAGGAGAGACCCTTAGAGAGTAGACCACTTCGTGTCAGTTTCACAAGCCCTGCAAGGACCTGGGTTATCCTCATTTAAGTGTATGCTGTGTTAGAGAGAGATGTGTGTGTAATAATGTCTTTTGGCCATGGTAAATAGAGACAAGAGGTGTCAGGATCCAGGTTTGGACTCTGTGGGGCCCAGCCTCTTTACTTCATAACTCCTGTGGACAGAACAACTTAGGTCAGCAACTGTAACATTCTAGGCTGCTCACCACAAAAGAGAAATAGTGTGTCAAGTAGAGAACAGAATGACAATATGGCACCAGACAGCAATGTCTGGAGGGTAGTAGCAGAAGGACAAAATGCCCATCCCGTTGGCTGTGGCTGCACTGACCCAGGAGAGGCTTGTTCTGGTCAGCCAGAAGGTGATGTGAACATGGGAACCCACAAGCGTGTCCCTTTGTGCAGCTCAGGCTTACCCACACACACTCACGGACTGTAGGACTCAACCTTTTCAGTGTCCCAGCAAGAAGTCACTCCTACAAGTTGTTGGAGTAGCACACACTTTACAAAAGTGACATAGGGGAGAGAGAGGAGTGGGTTGTATCATGCACCCCATTTCCAGTATATTTCAGAATTAACCCGTACGACATTTCCGTCCTCCCCACAGCTCCTTCTCAGCTACCGTGCAACTTGGGAATCATCTTTTCCTGACACTCCTGATCTTTGCATTGCCTTTGTTCCTCTCTCTGCCCCCTAACCTCTAGGATTTACTCTTAAATATTTAATATCAGTTGAATTCCCCCCCAATGTCACGCACACTGGGTCTATTGCCCCGCCCCCCTCCTCTGGCTCCTGGTGAATACCCAGTCACTGTAGGCTGAGCTTCCACTTAGAAATAGACTTATTGGGATGCCTGGGTGGCTCAGTGGGTTGAGCATCAACTTCAGCTCAGGTCATGATCTTGTGGTTCCGTGTCAGCTCATGATCCACATCAGGCTCTGTGCCAACAGCTCAGAGCCTGGAGCCTGCTTTGAGCATTCTGTGTCTCCCTCTCTCTCTGCCCCTCCCTGGCTCATACTCTGTCTTTCAAAAATAAATAAAACATTAAAGAAAAAAATTTTTTTTAAAAAATAGTCTTATCAAGGAGCGCCTAAATGACTCACTTGGTTGAGTGTCCTAACTCTTAATTTCAACTCAGTTCATGATCCCAGAGTCATGGGATAGAGCCCCACGTAGGGCTCCATACTGAGCTTGGAGCCTGCTTAAGATTCATTCTCTCTCTGTCTTGCTCCATCTTCCCATCCCGCTCACATACCTGTTCTCTCTCTCCTTCTTTCTCTCTCTTTCAAAAAAAGCGAAAGAAAGAAAAAAGGAAATAGACTTATCAAGGAATTTCTTCAGTAAAGGTGGTCTCTCTCCATTAGAAATTCTAGTAAATTCTAGTAAAGTTTCCTGGGGGAACAAATTACTTCAAACAGGTATATAAGGAAAGGTGTGGGCAGAGTCCAAAAAGGATTGAGTGGGACAGGCTATGTGTCCTTCTTTAGCCTCTAAACATGTAGCCCACACAGCCTGAGGTTGGACTCCAGATTCTATAGCATCCCCCAGGACACCCAAGTGGCAGACCTCTCTAACCACACCCAGGACCTGAGCCCTCACCAAGCCCCCACCATCTCCAGTGCACTGAGGGACCAAAACATGGTGTTTCCCTGCCCAATTGGGTCCCCAGGTATCCGGATGCTAGACCAGCCATTCATGACGGACATCATCGAGGCCTCTTCCATCAGCCACATGCCTCAGCTGATCGACATCTACAGTGCCAGCTGGGGCCCGACAGACAACGGGAAGACAGTGGATGGACCCCGGGAGCTCACGCTTCAGGCCATGGCTGATGGCGTCAACAAGGTAAGGTCATTCCTGCGGCCACCAGGCCCAGGTCCTCTGCAGGGAGGGCTGGGGAGTGGGGCGTCCAGCGGAAGTGATGAGAATGAAACAAGGGGCAGGGAATAAGGCAGAGGTCAGGCTGTTACCCTGTGCGTTTGCTCAGGGCCTCCAAGAAATGGACCCCCAAACAGAGTTAGCAGTGCAGATTTATCAGAGAGGGCTTCTTTACAGGGCAAAGGGGAGGGAGCATGAGGTGGCAGAGGGTGCTTTCAGACGGTGATGCTAATCTGACCCCAGTGAAGAGCGGGGAGGAAGGACAGTCACCCTGGGGGTCTGTGCTGGCCCCCCCACCTTGTCACATGACAGCTGGGAGCAGCCCCCAGGCAGTGGAGTGAGTCTGGGTGCAGACAGGGTGGTGGATCCATTATGTTCCCATGGCAGAGCTGTGAGCCATGGGTTTTCCAGGCCACCCATCCCTGAGGTTAGCCCAGGAATGGTCAGAGCCAAGGAAAAGAGACCAAGGCAAAGCCCCAAAGGGAGGGCAGCAGGGTCAGCGACCAGTGGAGGGGAACAAGGTACCCTCCATGCATCTCAGAGTAGGGGTCACATCAGACAAGATATGAGCCAAACCTTGGCATCAGAGTCTTCTAAGTTCAGGTCCCATTTCTTTTAGTGAGCGTTTGGGTGTGTCTGCAAATGACTTGACCTCACTGCACCTCTGTCTTCTTGCCTGTAAAATGATGATAATCCTACATTGCTTCTGGGATCGTTGTAAGGTGCAAATGAGATAAATATGCCAGTGTTTGGCTCTGGGAAGTGCTCCAGGAAGGGTTGGTATTTATCCAGGTCATTGTGGATGCTTAACCTATCTCCCCAAAACTTTGTGGAGTAAAGCACAGGCTTTTTTTTTTTTTTTTCACTAAGCTTGAGGATTTTATGGGTCAAGAACTCAGATAGCACATGGCTTATCTCAGCTGGGGATGGCTTGTCTCAGCTCTGAGAGTCCTGGGCCTCAGATAGAAGCCTCCAGCTTTGAATTGCCAAACAGTTGTGTCTTCCGGTGCCCTTGTGATGTGTCAAATTATTGTCATTGGTGTCACAATACCAACCACTCAAGAGTACTTAGTCATTGTGTCATATTTAGTGTTTTCTTCAGGATTGCACTTGCCATCAGATGATAGTGATGCCCTCTCGATGCTTTTAGTTTGCCTCTCTAATCGGCCATGGACAGGAGTCATATTTTCCCAAGATCACAACAATAGTGTGTAGAGTAAGATTAGCCAGGTCCTAAGTGAGGGAAAGACAAGTGTGTGAGGTTTAGTATATGGACTTTTGGAAGTGCCGTTTAGGAATTTTTAGAAAGTCTGCTTTTTGGATTTTGGCCAATTTCAAATGGATGAAATGGATATATAGTCATATTTGGATATATAAACTAGCACTGTTATAAATTAATTGCAAAATGCATCTGTTTTATGTTTATTTACAGTTTATGTGAAATATACATGAAGTTATTATTTACACATTTATATCACTAAAGTAGGTATGTGTATGAAACGCCCTACATTTGACAGTAGCTTAGAAAGGTAAAAATATTGAAGAGAATTAGAGAGGACAACTGAAGGCTAATTTTTGTTGTTGTTTTAGTGTTATAATATGCCAGCGTTGTGTTTTGGTTTTTAACTATTATCAACTTTAAATCCCACAACTTACTCATCTTGTAACCCTTTGACCTACATACAGTATCCCTAATCCTCTTCATCTCCTAGCCCCTGGAAACTCTGTTTCTATGAGTGACTTGTTTTAAGAGTCCACATATAAGTGCTACCAGGAAGTATTTGTCTTTCTCTGTCTGGCTTATTTCACTTAGCATAATACCCTCAAGGTCTAACCATGTTGTCACAAATGGAGGGATTTCCTTCTTTTAATGGCTAATATTCTGGTGTGTTGGGGGAGGGGTGTGCACCTGTGTGTGTGGGGGGGTATATATGTATGTATATATACAGTATTTTCTTTATGCATTCATGCATTAATGGACACTTAGGCTGTGTCCATTTCTTGGATAGTGTAAATAATGCTGAAGTGAAATGAGAGTGCAGGTATCTAAAGTCAGTAATTTCAGGGCCATCTGGGTGGCTCCATCATTTAAGTGTCTGACTCTTTCATTTTTTTTTAATTTCTGAGAGAGAGAGTGAGTAACAGCATGTGCAGGAGAGGGTCAGAGAGAGAGGGAGATACAGAATCTGAAACAGGCTCCAGGCTCTGAGTTGGCTGTCAGCACAGAGCCTGACGTGGGGCTCGAACCCACGAACTGTGAGATCATGACCTGAGTCAAAGTCAGACGCTTAACCCACTGAGCCACCCAGGCACCCCAAGCATCTGACTCTTGATCTCAGCTCCGGGTTTGATCTTACTGTCATGAGTTCAAGCCCCACTTTGGGCTCCACGCTGGGCATGGAGATTACTTAAAAAAATAGTATTATCATTTCCTTCAGATTATTCCAGAAGTGGGATTTCTGAGTCATATGGTAGATCTGTTTTTAATTTTTTGAGGAGCCTCCATATGTTTTCCATAGTGGCTGTGCCAATGCACATTCATTCCCACCAACAGTGCACAGGGGTTCGCTTTTTTTCCACATCCTTGCCAACACCTAACTTTTTGATAATAGTGAAGGCAACTTCTTCTATACATTTCCTAAGGTCAGAGAACAGGGCTTTTCCTCTCCAGCTCTTCTCAGAAACTGGCCTAGTGCTTGAAAAGTGGATCAGCTGTTCAATAAATAGGTGTGGAATTAATACATGAATGAAATTTGATGGTTGAAAGATTAAAAGTCCTATAGAAATCTGTCCTGATGTTCCTATAGTGAACATCAGTGGTGCCCACTACATCTTCTTTATCAGTGGCGAGGGGGAGCCCCCAGCTACAATGACTCACACAGCTGCCCCTTCCCTGTAGAATGATAGGAGGCTTTCATCCAGATGGTTATGCCCACACACACACCCAGGAGGCTGCCCACAACCAATGATTGGTTCAGGTAGAAGAGGCCAGACTGCTTGCCCCAGTGGGTACCATTCTAAGGTGTAATTTATGCTCCAGAGCCCCCTGTGAATCAGACCAAGGGTTGACTTTGCTTGAGAGCATGTCGTTTTGAGATTCCTTTCTTGCTTATCCTGTTTCACTCCCTTGTTGACAGATTTCCCCTAAGTGCACGTTCTTAATATACGTGGTGAGCTCAAGTCCCTGCCTTAGGCTCAGCTTCTAGTGAACCCACTCTAAGATATTAGCCCATTGAGGTTCATTCTTTCCCTTGGCTTCCAGGAAGCTCAGAACTAAGTTTGTGCCTAACAGTATAGGTTTTTTCAAACTAAGTTTTCTCCTACCCCATTTTCTCCCCTCTTTTCACCAACCATGGCCTCTAAAATCATTCCTTAGCTTTTGTTCCCATGTCCTTTTTCATATTTCTATGGAATCCAAATCTATGAATACTAGGAAGTAAAAAATTTATAAAAGAATTGATTAAATGAGCTCAGTTTGATTTGATTAAATTAAGGTGTGCATTTTAACTTTGGGATCCTCAAATTGTTTCTTGCTTCCACAGTTCCTAGTCTTCATGGACTAAACCATCTCAGTGGACAAAAATCAACAGTGTCTGGGCCCTTAACAATAGTAAAGAGTAAGTCAAACAAAGTGCAGCCCGTTAGAGACAGGGTCAGCCCACAGGTCAGACCCAATGCACTAGCTGTCTTTGCAAATAAAGTTTTACTGGAACACAGCCAGGCCTCAGTGTCTTTCCAACCACAATTTCTCTTCCAATCACAGCTGTCGCAGGCTCCACATGCAGGGAAACACCTGGGTCCCTGGATCATTATCAGAACCACAGGCTCTTCTGCTGGCCTGTCCCCATCTTCATCACTAGACAACCAGCGTTGCATGAAAGGAGGTGTGCTTCTGTAGCATGGTTTTTTTTTTAAGGACTGGGATGAACAAATTAGAGAGCTGAGCTTGAGAACTGGGAGGCCAGAATTCTCATCTTGACCCCACCTCTTTTTGGCCGTAGGACTCCAGATTAGTACTTAGCTTCTCTGTGCCTCATTTTCTTCTTTGGTAAAACAGTCCACATCAGTGGTGCTCCAAGTGTGGCCACTGACCCACCTGCAAGTTTGTGAGAAATGCAGAGGCTCCGCCCCACCCACCCACCTGATATATCAGAATTTGCATGTTAACAAGGTCATGCTCAAGTTTGAGAGGTACTACTATAAATGATTTCTAGAAAATGTATCTGGTAACCCTAAGATACTAAGACCACAAGGTAATGTGGTTTTAAAAAATCCCCAGTGATGGAGCACCAGGGTGGTTCACTCAGTTAAGCCTCTAACTCTGGGTTTCAGCCCAGGTCATGATCTCATAGCTCATGGGTTCGAGTCCCACATCAGACTCCACAGCTGGCAACATGAAGCCTGCTTGGGAGCTTGGAATTCTCTCTCTCTCTCAGCCCCACCCCTGCTCACCTTGTCTCTGTCTCTCTCAAAATAAATAAATAAATAAAACTTAAAAAAAAAATCCCCAGTGACTAAGAAAAGACAGTAGAAGTGACTCATTTTCTGGAAGTAACAGCACATCCCCATCCAGGTAGTATGTTGAAGGGACTGATTACCAAGCCTGATGCTCTGGTTTGTCTCTGAGCTGCATGTAGGAGCAGAGGCCCAGGTGGCTCAACTTCAGGAGTTTCTTGTAGGGATGTATGAGGAGAGACAAGAGCACTGGAGGGGATTCAGGCAGGACCTCATATAGGCTGGGACCAGACAGATGTTCTGGACCCAGTGTGGATGAAGGGCTCTGGCCAGAGGAGTGTGTGGAGATTCCACTGGGATCCCAAGGTCATGAGGCTTGGCCACGCTCATCATTCTTGTTTCTCACTGGCTTTGGGTGTCCCTCTCTGAATCCACTTTTTCTCTTCCTTGGGACTTCTGTTAACGTGCTCCTTCTACATGGACATGACACCGTTAGCAGCCTTGTTTGTCAC